TTCCTGTTAATTAATCAGATGTTTCCTTCAAATAATTAGATATTTTACCAGGAAGGATAGATTTTTATTTCCTTGATTTATTTGTAAAGGAAACCTAAAAATAATGACAATTGTTTTTCCGTGACTATACGTCCCCTCTCTGTTCACACCCTTTACAGATAAAAATAAAATTTCTAAAGAAATTACTCACCGCCATTCTAAAGCTGGGACTCCACCATCTGCAGTTCCGCCTCCTGTGATGTCAGCATCGAAGCTGACATCACCAGCAATCTCCTCCAATCCATAGATTCTCATAGAGAAGCTATGCCTTGGAACTAGGCATGCGCGGGCAAACATTGCGCTTCTCCAATCAAATGCTGCCCAGATCGAGTCAGTGCCATGGAAACCCCTCTAGTGGCCATCAGGAAGAGGTGTGTTTAACCCAGAACACTTCATTGAGATAAAGTGGTCTGAGTGACTATAGTGTCCCCTAAAGTGTGTCCATACATGCACTGCACTTGTTATAAAATATGTATGTGTAAATGTACAGGTTTTTGGGGTTTTTATATTCTATCCTCCCCTCCACAGTTTGTTCTTTGTCCCCCATCCTCTCTTGCTTCTCCTACCTATTATAATTTTCAATCTATTTCCAGCAGAATTCAATAAGAGAAATAAATGCTGCTGTGCAGCGTATGAAAGGCCTTGGAATGGACTTCTCATCAATTGCACATTATTTCACATACATTTTCTGTATAATGTTTTTTGTCTCTGGAAGGCTGTGCCAGGTTATGCACCGTGTTTACATGTCTATATTTTGAGGAGGGGGGTGGGAGGGGGCACATTTACTCTCCTGTGTAGACAATCTGTCACAGCTTTATACCCCCTCCTCCTGTTAAATCACTTCCACTCTGTATTAGTCATCACTGTCTCAACAATAATAAAAAGTGCACTAATTAAAAAGTTTTATACGTTATTAAAAAAGGGCTTCAAAGTATAATTGCTAAACTTTTGGCTGAGCCTACCTGGCATTCATTGAACCCCCCAGGGAGTTGGAAGCTTTGCCTAGGTTGGAGTTTGGGAGTATTTAACTCTTTAAAGGGGAAATGTCCTCCATACCGTTTGGAAAGTTATCCTCTAAAGTGAGACTTTTATTTCAATTTCACATTTAAGGCTGAAGAAGCCAAATTGAAAAGCTAGCTGGCGTGGAGAATTTCTGGAGTTCAGTCACTTGGAATCCTCATGTTAGTGCATACCCCTGATGATGGGAATAATTCACTGAATGATCTCGGTTGGAGATGATGCAGATACCAATCTGTGCCACATCATGCAGAACACTAATGTCCGTGGACATGAATCTAATTATATTGGGATTCATGCGATCATGGAAAAATCTTCTTTAGGGTTAAATATGCCTTCGTTGTAATAAAAGGCTGGAAATGAGTTACACGTGCAAGACTAATGAGATTTGTGTGAGGGTTCTGTTTAATCTCTAGGAATATGATGCACTGGCCTCCATGCATCAATCTTAGTCCTCCAGAAACATGATAACACATTTGGCCCACTTGGACTAGAGCAGGACTCATAATTCCACCTGGTCTACATGTGAGCCCTCCAGACTCTGTGCTCCTGTAGATTCCATCCATACAAAGAAGCTCTTGGACTCCTCCTTCCATTCTGGAGTCCACATGGATCATAAGGGCTGAAAAGATTCTTAAAACGACAGTACTGATAGTGCTATTTGCACCAGCAAGACAGGATGTGTTGCAGTTAGTATTAACTAGCCTGGGCATTGGTGGATTATAAACTCAGAAACATAGAGTGCCATTGCCAACTCCTTACCATACATTGCAAACCTTCATGTAGGTTACAAACTAATACGATATTAGAAGGCTTTATAAAGATTGCTATAATAGTCTCACTCTGTTCTTGATTTAATAAGCTTATCCCAAAAGATGTGTTTACAACAGTCACAATTAACATAAATAGGAAATTCTGTAGATAAATCAGTTTGGAAGCTTTTTCTAACAGTATTGAATCATCTGATAAGCTTATTAAATTGAGGCTTATATCGCAGTAGTATAACGTTTTCCTGGATTCCAAGCGTTTAATGTAAATGTTACCACTGAAACCAAAGTACAGTATAGACTTTCTAACAAACTGTCTGGATTTTATCATAACTAAGTGTTAAACTCTTAACTATATGGTAAACCTCCAGAGATCGCAAAGTGATACAAACATTTGTAGGCACTCCTGACATTGTAGACTACATCTCCCATAATCCTTTACAGCCATAATGCTGGCAATAGATCAGGAGAGATATAGCCCACAACATCTGGAGTGCAGAAGGTTTCCTACCCCTGGGCTAGACCTAGCCATGCTGGACTCTTTCTTAACACAGCAGCCTAGAGTATCCAGATTACTCCCTTTTTTGAATCTGTTTTCTTTTCCCTTTCCTCTTCACCATTATTTGCCCCCACTGCTTCCTCTCACTGGCACACACTGATAGTGGTGTATGCAGGTGTCTCTGCCGCTTGGTGTCTAGATACCAGTTCAACCACTAAGCGCCTCAAACCATGACATCTCCATCATTAGGAGAAGCAATTTCAGCCTTTAGAAAATCAACTGAGGGTCTCGGCCAATAAGAGACAACAGCTTGCGTTATGAGAAGAAGCTTGTGCCCAGTGGGAAGCAGTCTGTCATGTTGACAGCTAAGCCATAAGCAGAATCTAATGCATTGGGATTCATTTTGTCCATTAGACCTAATCATTGGTAGATTTTCTCTGTCAGTAGAGAACACATTACAGAGTTTTATGAAGGCAACATTAATATTTAATACATTCAGAGGGATCTCTTCTATTCTAATGGGATGCCATATGCCCACCAACTGTATACACTGAAATAAAGGCAGTAGGTAGCTGACACCTAGTCAGTCTGGACCTCTGGTCATTTTGTAAACTAAACAGTCCAAAGGTCACAAATGCAGATAGGAGGCCTGTAGGTCAGATAGGAAGCTGATTCTGCAAAGACACAAGACCAGAGCTGATGGGCTATCTTGGATCTTGGATAGCCCATGGGTTTTTAATGGTACCATTCCTGACGGGGCTTTAAACACGGGAAGTGGAGGCCTTTATTTCATTTTATTGATTTTAATCCTCTTTGCACATTATTTTAGTAGGTGTGTGTCTTTAACATTTAACCATCAACAAGGATTAGGATTAATGTGTGTTTTCCTCACTTCATGTGTCTATATTTAGAGAGGAACTGTTTCAACCCACCATTTATTAATATTAAATATTAATATCCCCTGTAGGTAGCAAATATCAGGATTATGCACTAAAATGAGAAATGTCAGGAATTAAAAGTAAATTTTAAAATTTAACTCAAAATAACAGAATTGCAGAGAAATTCTCCGTCAATTTTTTTTTTCAGTTTTGTGCTTATATTTGTAAATTAATGTTAAATTCCCACTTTAGTAAATCACCATGTATGGGTCTGAATATTAAAATTAAAGGGACACTGTATTCACCAAAACAACTTGAGCGTAATGAAGCAGTTTTGGTGTATAGATCATTTCCCTGCAATCGCACTGCTCAATTCTCTACCATTTAGGAGTTAAATAACTTTTTATACAGCCCTAGTCACACCTCCCTGCATGTGACTTACACGGCCTTCCTAAACACTTACTGAGTCATGTAATGTTTACACGTTCTTTACAGCACACTCTGTTTAATTTAGAATTTCTTATCTCCCACTCTGTTAATAGCTTGTTAGACCCTACATGAGCCTTCTGTTTGTGATTAAAGTTCAATTTACAGAGCAGGAGATAACAACATCTAAAGTAAGTAACATCTGATTGAAAATAAAACTGTTTTGTTACATGCAGGCTGTGTGAGTCACAGTCAGGGGAGGTGTGGCTAGTGCTGCATTAACAGAAATAAAACTGATTTAACTCCTAAATGACAGAGAACTGGGCATTGAAAAATCAGGGGCATGATTTATACACCAAAACTACTTAATTAAGCTAAAGCTGTTTTGGTGCCTACAGTGTCCCTTTAAATACAGAAATCTATCTATCCTGACACTAGACACATCCTTCTCTGCTCCCTATCAATCACTTCTACAAGCTCTGGCTTTTTCTGACATTGAATGTTGTACATTGATTGGAAGAACCAGAACAAATGTTTGTTTCTCTTCCAGTGCAGTGTGTGCCCTGTCTGTGCCAGGACTGAACTGTATGGTGATGTAATTCACAAAATCTTTAATCTACATTTAAAAGCAAACATCACATGCAGAGAGAGGTTCACACAAGTAGTTGGTGCCTTTCAATTATTATTTTTTAAATTCTTTATTTTTAGTTGTGCATAGATTGTACAATAGACATGTGCAATTCGTTTCGAATTCGTTTCGAATTAAAATTCGGCCAAATTTCTAATAATTCGGACATTCGGGTGCTTCCGATTGTCCGAATAAGTGAATTGCCGAAGTGCCGAAAATACCTAATTTCCGAAGTGTAGTAGTGCCGAATTGCTGAAGTGCCGAAGTTCCGAAGTTGACGAAGTTCCGAGATGTTAAAGTGCCGAAGTTCCGAAGCACAGTATTGCCTAAGTACTAATATACTTACCCAGTGAAAGAAGGAGAATGTTACATTGTATACAATTTTCAATAAAAAGTATACAAACATAGCCAGGATTCAGCTGTAAGCATTTGCAACACTTACAAAAATCAAGTAACACACATTCATATAAAATGTAAGTTACTTAGCCAGTCATGTAATGACAGGAATGAATAAGTAGATAACTCCATAATTCCCACGGTATTAGGGAGCTATCTACTAAAAGGCTGAAAGAGCTGAATTGGTCTTTCAGCCAAATTTACTAATACTAAGTAAAGATTACTTAATATTAGTAAATGATGCCCCTACTCGCTATATCGCGAGGGGCATTTCTATTAAACAGTGCGACGTGCGACGTGCGAGTGGGGGCTTTTAAACTAAAGGGGGGACCTATTGCCCCCCCCCGGCCCCCACCCCTGAGCGGCGGGTGGGGGCCTAAAGTAAAAAAGGGGGAGAGGACCTATTGTCCTCCCCACCCACCGCTCAGGGGTGGGTGGGGGCCCTAAATAAAAATTGGGGGGGGGACCTAATTTCCTCCCCCCTGGCCCCCACCCCTGAGTGGTGGGTGGGGGCCCTAAACAAGAATAAGTGGGGGGGACCTAATGTCCTTCCCCCCTGGCCCCCACCCCTGAGCGGTGGGTGGGGGCCCTAAATAAAAATTGAGGGGGGGGGACCTAATGTCTTCCCCCCTGGCCCCCCACCCCTGAGCGGTGGGTGGGGGCCCTAAGTACATTAGGTCCCCCCACCCTTATTCTAGTTTAGGGCATCACCCACTGCTCAGCAGTGGGGGCCAGGGGGGAAGACATTAGGTCCCCCCCCCCTCAATTTTTGTTTAGGGTCCTCACCCCCCGATCAGGGGTGGGGGCCAAGGGGGGGGGGACACTAGGTCCCCCCCTTATTCTAGTTTAGGGCCCCCACCCACCGCTCAGGGGTAGGGGCCAGGGAGGAGGACATTAGGTCCTCCCCCAATTTTTACTTTAGGGCCCCCATCCGCCGCTCAATTTTTTTTTTTTAACAGGCTGCTCACTGTTTTATAGACATGCCCCTACTCGCAATATAGCGAGGAGGGGCAAAATTTACTAATACTAAGTAATTTTTACTTAGTATTAGTAAATTTGGCTGAAATACCAATTTAGGTCTTTCAGCCTTTTTTGGTAGATAACTCCCTAATACCGAGCACACAAAATCATAGGAGTAGTGAGACATTTGTGTGGCATTCAAGAACACTGCACATTTTTTAAAGAGTAATGCAGAACACAGGAGCATACATAACATAGGAGCTATGGATCCACTGGGTGCACATTATAAAAATAGCAGAAAACATCAAAACTACAGAGAGCCCTGCACTATTACACAGGATGGTGTGAGGAGTTCGGTTGGCATGGGATCACCCAATACCCCTCTTGAGTTTGCAGAGTGTGCAGTGTGGCGGCCATCTTAGGAGCATCTTAATAACTGCTTGTGTGGCACCAAAAAGATCAGCTTCACTTGGCCTGTCTTCTGGTGGCCCATATTTAGCTTTTCAGGGCTGATGTTGTGCCGTTTTTCTCGCTCTATTTATCATGCAGAGCAAAGTGACAGCAAACGTCTGCTCAGCTCTGTGTTCAGGCCTCGCCCCCCTTTCAATCTTTTATTTAATGATTTAATTTCCAGAAAAGTAACATATCCACTCTGATCCTTCTTTGGTCACGTGTCTACAGGTCTAGGTTTTGAATAAGGACTATGGGTGTCCAAAACTCTTTAACCCCTTAAGGACACATGACATGTGTGACATGTCATGATTCCCTTTTATTCCAGAAGATTGGTCCTTAAGGAGTTAAACTATGGTTCTGACTGTCCCCCTGTCTCTGGTCTGGATAGGTGAATAAAGTCTTTTGTATCCTTCTATATTGGGACCCTTAGGGCCCCCTAGAAATTTCTCTCAAGGTCACGGGATGGCCAATGCATGAAAGCCATCAGAAAATTGTCTTAAGTAGACCTCGACAATAAGGAAATGGTATCACCCACTGAGGCAGGTGCTCCCGTTGCCGGCCAACGATGCTCATTGTTATCTGTTTTGGCCAATTTTTCATTCCAAAGTATCTGGTACTGGTCAGACCTGTTCTAAGCCTGGTTTCTTAGTGTGAGACTCTTTGATGGATTAGTTGTGAGAGATCTGCAGAAGAATTAATGAAGAATCTTACTTATGGGGAAGCAATTACAGCAATAGAAAATCTCACCCAGTTTGAGGCAGTCTCAGGCATAAGGAAAGACACTCGTACAGCAGGAAACCATGAGTATTTAGGAAGTGAAACCTTTTTTTTTTTTGTCATTTTCAGATTCTTTCTCTAGATTCTTTCACAAGCTGGTTAAGGAGGGGTTAATAAGTTAAGAGAGATTCTTCTACCCTTCTGTTTACACAGATAAACCAATTAGAGATCAAAGCCTCTGTGATTAATGTACCACATCAGTTTTTAGTGAGGATGGATCAGTGAGCAGTGGGGCAATCCGGTGGAAAGCTCTCAAAGGGTTTTATATTCCATAGAAAGGTCGTGAGAACCTGGGACTATCTGGTCCTGTAATGCTTGGCAGCATTTGTGCTTCCACTGTCTCTCCTGGTACTAAAACTGTGACTGTCTCAACCTGTATGCATGGAGGCCTGTGTGTCTCTCTGTCTTGTCCTGGTGATAAAACTGTCACCATCTCATCCTGCAGACAATGTCTAGACTGTCTCTGTCCTGATGTCCCTTCCAGAAAGGGGTGCAGTATATCATTGGGGTGTAAATATACACAATGAACATGAGCCATTATATAAAGCCACACATACTTCATTAACATGCCCATCAGTTTAGCCACAGGCAGAGCTAGAACAATACAGCTTTAAATCTCTTTTCACAGTACACATATGCAGTGTTCTGAAACATGCGCTCCTCTCTTTACAGCACAGACTTATTTGTCACGGTATAGATTGCCATATGTACATTACATATTCTTATTATAAGTAGCATTTACTTATTTGCCAAAAAAATGTGAACTCCGTTTGACACAGTACTTAAAAGAACACTCCATTGCCCAAATGGAAGTGCGTGCAATTGCAATATTTTCATCGGGAATATATATGAACACAGCTTGCAAAAGCTGCAGAACTCTTGTCTTCAGCCTTTGCAAGCCCTCCCTTTCTAACTCCACACAGACATCCTGTAGCTGTTCAACTACAACTCCCATAATTCGCTGTGAGCCATAGACTGATGGAGAATTCTATGTGTTTCAATCCAACAATATCTATACAAGGTGGGGCCAAGGATAGATCTTCAAATTTTGAAAGACGACAATTCCCATGATGCTTTGTAAACCTGACGAATTTCAAGGCATCATGAAGCTGTCGTTTTAGAACAGAGGAGGACCTAACTTTGTCTGCTCCTGATCTCCTATTTGAAGAAATCTATACAAAGTGTAGTATTGTTATACATTTACCTTTTTGTTTTTCTGTTTAGAACTATATATACAACGTAAACTTAAAATCCACATGTAAAATGAGCATAGTAAGACTGTGCTAGGATTAAAAGGCTCTCTTTCTCTCACTGTCTCCTATGCAGCATTGTGTATACTGGGAAGATGTGACCTCAAGGTACAGACTGACAGCAATCCCCCCCCCCCCCCCTCCCACCAAGTGCAGAAAGTACACAGAAACACTTGGTTTATTCACTAATGAGACATTGAAAACTACATTACTAATTTTAAAAAATTAACCATTATAGTTACAATTTGGATATTTTAACCTTAATTTTGCTCTTCTGTTTTCAGTTTACTCTTTAGTTAATAAACATGACAGCTGGTTAGCAATAAATATTGGATGATTGACAAGGAACTGGAACTTTAACACTGAAATATCTGAACTGGGAAAATACCTGCGTTGCAGATTTTTTAATTTTGGTTAATTTATTCTACAATGTGTGATCCCCATGTCAGATTCCCACAATAACTGGTTCAGTAAGTAAACTTATATGTGGATAGTTTTGTGTGCATCAATAAACTGCAATCTTTAAGTTTGGATTCCAAATTTTTGAATGGGTAACGCAGTGGCTGAGTGACAGGCAACAGAGGGTTGTAGTCAACGGAGTATATTTGAAGCTTGGGCTTGTCACCAGTGGGGTACCTCAGGGATCTGTACTTGGAACCATCCTCTTTAATAGTTTTATTAGTGATATTGCAGAAGGTTTTGATGGTAAGGTATGTCTTTTTGCTGATGATACTAAGATATGTAACAGGGTTGATGTTCCAGGAGGGATAAGCCAAATGGCAAATGATTTAGGTAAACTAGGAAAATGGTCAGAGTTGTGGCAACTGACATTTAATGTGGATAAGTGCAAGATAATGCATCTTGGACGTAAAAACCCAAGGGCAGAGTACAGAATATTTGATAGAGTCCTAACCTCAACATCTGAGGAAAGGGATTTAGGGGTGATTATTTCTGATGACTTAAAGGTAGGCAGACAATGTAATAGAGCAGCAGGAAATGCTAGCAGAATGCTTGGTTGTATAGGGAGAGGTATTAGCAGTAGAAAGAGGGAAGTGCTCATGCCATTGTACAGAACACTGGTGAGACCTCACTTGGAGTATTGTATGCAGTACTGGAGACCATATCTCCAGAATAGGTCTCAGAGAAGGGCTACTAAACTGGTTCATGGATTGCAGGATAAAACTTACCAGTAAAGGTTAAAGGATTGTAACATGTATAGCTTGGAGGAAAGACGAGACGGGGGGATTTGATAGAACCATTTAAATATATAAAGGGAATCAACACAGTAAAGGAGGAGACTATATTTAAAAGAAGAAAAACTACCACAACAAGAGGACATAGTCTTAAATTAGAGGGGCAAAGGTTTAAAAATAATATCCGGAAGTATTACTTCACTGAGAGGGTAGTGGATGCATGGAATAGTATTCCAGCTGAAGTGGTAGAGGTTAACACAATGAAGGAGTTTAAGCATGCGAGGGATAGGCATAAGGCTATTCTAACTATAAGATAAGGCCAGGGACTAATGAAAGTGTTTAGAAAATTGGGCAGACTAGATGGGCCGAATGGTTCTTATCTGCCGTCACATTCTAAGTTTCTATATATGTCTTGATGCATATTTGAGTGGGCATGGGTGTTTATTTTCATATACAGTAGTGTCAATGTAAATATATATGTGCATTTGTAGTGCCAATATGTGTGAATTAATTTGCAGGAATGTTTTGTGCATTGGGAAGTCTGTGAATGTATACGTACTTGTGTATCTCGTCACCATGCATGCTATAGTGTCATAGTTTGTGAATGCAGGGTTGTAGTTGTGTGGTAGTGCCAGTATGTGTATATGTAGAAGCAGTGTGTATGTGTGTGTGAATGTAGAGTTCTCCATCTTTAAAGTCCAGATGTGTTTTGTGTGGAGCATTAATGCGTGAATGTAACTGTGTATTTGTTTGCAGGGTTGAAATACAGCGGTGCTTTGTATGGAGTGTGTGGATGGTGGGTATATTTTTGTTTCAATGCACTGCTAATGCAGGAAGAAATTTGCAAATGTGTGTGTGTATGTGTGCAAATTCAGAGTTTCCGTGAATATTTGTGTGGAGTGTGTGAGTGAATTCATGTAAGTATTAGTAAGACATGCGTGTGTGTATACAGGACTGTATATTACTGCATGTCACTGTGTGTGCATGCATTGTTGTATTTGAGCAGTATGTGTGCTGTTGTGTGTTTTTCTGTGTGTCACTGTGTGTGCATGCATTGTTGTATTTGAGCAGTATGTGTGCTGTTGTGTGTTTTTCTGTGTGTCACTGTGTGTGCATGCATTGTTGTATTTGAGCAGTATGTTTGCAGTTGTGTTTTTCTGTGTGTCACTGTGTGCATGCATTGTTGTATTTGAGCAGTATTTTTGCAGTTGTGTGTTTTTCTGTGTGTCATTGTGTGACTTTTATCTCCTCAGTCCTCAGTCTCTTTCAAACCATCTCTCCTTTCGTCTTTGTCCCATGTGCTTTTTCTTCCCTCCATACAAACCCCTTTGTCTCTCCTAATCGTCCTGTGATCCTCCTCATATTTTCCATTCCAAACTGCTATCCCTTTTTCTATACAATCTCACCACTTTTAACTCTTTCCTTATCTCTTCCCCTTTTTATTCTCACTTTAAACGTCTGGTTGTCTCCCCTTCGTATCAGCCTGCTTCCTGTGTGGCCGGGGCCCCTGACTTCACTAATGCATGGCACTTCATTCTCGGGGATGATGTATTAAAACAATATATGTGCAGGCACTGGCGGAACTAATGTAAAGAAAGTGCAAGAAAGTTTTTCGGGCCCACCTCTAGTGCAAGAGTGGCCAAAAGGTATCTGTTGTACAACTCAAATTCAACTATGCAAGCTGGGGATCTACCGTATGCCCATCCTTGCAGAGTTGTATCTGTGAGGAGTGTTTGCGTGTTTGAATGTAAACGTGTTTTTGTGTAGAGTAAATGTGCGCGTGTAGGAGTGTATGTATGTGTGTGTGTACTGTTACCATTGGAATGCAATGGCGTACTTGTGTGTTGTGTTTGGGTTTGTATGTAGTGTTGGCTTTTAAATGCAGGTGTGCTTTTGTGGGTAGTGTTTGAATGGAGGGTGTTTGCATATCTTTTTAGCATTTTAATACAGGGTTGTGTTTGTATAGAATGTTTGCGTTTGATTGCAGTGGTGTGTTTGGATGGAATGTTGGCTTTGAAATGTTTATGTACATTTGTGTGTAGTACTGGTGTTTGAGTGAATTGATGTATTTGTATTGCAGAAGTGTGTTTACATGTTATGTTGGTGTTTGATTGCTTTGATGTTTGCACATACACACATACACAGATATACATACACATTACCACACACAGATGCACAGACATAAATACACTGACACATACACACATTCATATACACACTGACACATACACACAAATACACAAACACAGAGATGCACAGTGATACATGCACACACCATAGGCGTGCGCAGCCTATTGCATTAGGGTGTGCACCCTAAAGCACAAACACACGCCGCGCGTGTGTGTGTGTGTGTATATATATATATACACACACACACTCTCACAGACACACACACACTCACAGACACACACACACACACACACACACACACACACACACACACACACACACACACACACACACACACACACACACACACACACACACTGACACACACACACTCACACTGACACATACTCACACACTCACAGACACACACACACTGACACATACTCACACACTCAGACACACTGACACATACTCACACACTCACAGACACACACTCACACTGACACATACTCACACACTCACAGAAACACACACTGACACATACTCACAGACACACACTCACACTGACACATACTCACACACTCACAGAAACACACACTGACACATACTCACACACTCACAGAAACACACACTGACACATACTCACACACTCACAGAAACACACACTGACACATACTCACACACTCACAGACACACACTCACACTGACACATACTCACACACTCACACTGACATACTCACACACTCACACTGACACATACTCACACACTCACACTGACATACTCACACACTCACAGACACACACTCACACTGACATACTCACACACTCAGACACACACTCACACTGACATACTCACACACTCACAGACACACACTCACACTGACACATACTCACACACTCACAGACACACTGACACACACACACACACATTATTATATATATATTTTTTTTTTTTTAAAAAAATGTCCACCCAGCCTCCTACCTGGAGTGCTGGTGGACTTTTCCCTGGGGTCCAGTGGGGGCGGGCGCCTTTCTCCAGGTCAGCCGCGGCGAGGGAGCTCTCTGCTGTCTGCTGTCTGCTCCCTCTCGCCGCGCGGGCTGTCTGCTGCAGCTGGGAGCCGGAATATGACGTCATATCCCGGCTCCCGGCATCAGCGCGCGGCGAGAGGGAGCAGAGAGCAGAGAGCTCCCTCGCCGCGGCTGACCTGCAGGGTGGGGGGGAATCCATCACCTCTTGCCCTCCCCATGACAGGGGCAAGAGGTGAAACAGGGGGCACTGAGTGCCTGCAGGAACGCTGTTCCTGCAGGACTCAAACCATAGGCGTGCCACGGGGATTAGGGTGTGCCCAGGCACACCCGGCACACCCCGTGCGCACGCCTAAGGCACACACCTGTACGCAGATGCACACATGGACACACAGATACACACCTACCCATACATAGACACGTACACACACCTTGACACATGCACACACGCTGACACACAGATACACACACTGACGTATACATACACACACACAATCTGACATATATATACACATGTATGTTATAATTTTTATATTTGCAACCACCCTCCTAGCTTACTTGCTTGGAATCCTGGTGATGCGGGCTGAAGCTTACTGGAGTGAGAATACCTCTCTTCCCCAAGCTGCCTGTGTGTGCCCCGCTTCCTCCCAGTTGACCGATACTGCCCAGTCAAATTCCTGAAGGGCAGTGGTGCCCAACTGGGCTCCTGTTCATCAATAATTCCCTTGGGGTAGCCCTTAGTGCATGGGCCAACGGATGGGCCCTCAAAGTGTGTGGCACCAGTGCAGCCGCACCATCATCACTGGCAGTAGTTCCGCCACTGATGCAGGGCCAGTTTTGGAGATCTTCTAAACTCCACAACTGGCCCATAACTTCTTTTGCAACTGAGCCCCTGACTGCCACGGGCCCTTGGTCCATGACCGAAGTGCACGAGTGGTCAGTCTGTCCTTGGTGACCTCACTTCATCCCAACGTCTGAACTTCAGCTTGATCAGAGGCCCAGTCTGTTGCGCTATTAGAGGGCCGAGGTTTCCGACTGGGCCCTCATCAGAGAACTTCATCGGGTGGATCCAAGTGTGGGCCAGCCCTATAGGCCAGCTTCTCCAGCTTCCAGGCCCCAGTGTGGATGCACCAGCTGTAGTTCTGCTGCTGAGTTTCCACCCCCCTAAAGTAGGTTTTACTTACCTAATATCCGACAACATGCTGGACTCCATGCTGCCACCCAGCCTCAGTCCAATGTTTTCCTATAGGGAAGCCTTGTGAGGCTGGTGCACATGCGTGGCAAAACACCACTCTGCGCCAATCAAATCAAATGTTCTTATAACTGATACCTTAGTTAGAGCTGCTGAAGTGCATCTAGTGGTTGTCGTCCTGACAACCACTAGCTGTGTGTTAACCCTGTAATGTAAACATTGCTGTTCCTGCCAAATGGCAATCTGTTCAGTTATAGGTTAAACAGAGACACACAATTATATCAATTCATTGAGATGTCATAAAGTCCCTTTAAATATAGAAATCCCCCCGCTGTGTTGGCTTCCCTCCAACTGTACGTATACTCTTTATAAAACACACTGTACCTAATTTATCCAACTACTGTATGATTGTACCACTATCATACTTCAGTCCCAATAAAAATGTAAAATGAAAAATGCATAACAATAAGTATAACAAGTAAAGCTTTATCATATACTTAAACAAAAATACTGACTTGGTCGGCCCAGGCTTTGTGTATAGAAATCCGCAGTTCTCTATATTTCTGTATGTGTTACGTTGTGCCAAGAAGATACACTCCCAATGTACTAACAAATATTTACTATTCCGTACAGTTCATATAGACACAGCTCTGCACAGTACAGACTTCCATATTATGTGGATAAACCACCCTTGTTCTCAATAACACGTATAGAAATCACTATCTGCCCTATGGAGAGGTGATCTTAGGATATCAAGGAATTAAATCTCTTAAACACATTATAAATGAGAATTGCCATGGCCTGTAATTTTTTATAAAATATGTGTTTGTGAGATGTGAAAAATAAATTAAATTCCATGGGGCTGTATTTCGCTCCGTCTTATCTCGCTCTCAGTCATTGTTATAAGCTCCGCCCTCTGTACCTGTCAGTCAGCAGAGAGAGGCTAGAGGCAGGCAAACAGAAAAAATAAGGGATATTTATACCAGTGGAAGCAGCGGGCACATTCCTCCATTCTAACATCTTCTCATCACTTTTCAAAACACAACACTTTAATAAATCTCCCCCATTTTTCTAGTTGTTATTATAGTTCCTCTCCAACGCAATTTGTGCCAGGACTGAACTGGCTTGCGATGTCAATTGCTAAATCCGTAATGTACAACTAAAATAAGACAGAAACTGAAACGGTAACATAAGTTGTGGGTGATGTCAATGTTCTATCCAGTGCTGTAATTTACACAGAAGCAAAAGTTCCACTTTAATTCTGTAAAACAAAATCATGAAATGTTTTGTTCCCGATGCACGGACTGCCTGCTCTTGAAGCTCCCTGAATTGGATGTGGTGTGAAACCGTTATAGAATTAGCCATGGTTACGATACCTTCTCATGGCCCTACCTATGATATTTATTTATAAAATATTTTACCAGGAAGGATACATTGAGATTTCTCTCATTTTCAAGTATTTCAGGGATATTTGACCTTGTATTACAGACTTGTAACCCCCCTCCCCATCCCCCACTAACATACATGTTGTGATGTGACTTTGCCAAACACACATGTCATGCACGGTCTGGCGGGCACAATTACTGCTAAAGGGTTAAGTCGGGGGAGGCCATAAGGCATATACCCAACTGTTGGGAAGTCTAACTTCCGATGCTTACTTGCATTAAGCTGTCCTAAGGCTGGCAAAACATCATGGCACTTGTAGCTCAACAACAGCTGGGGATCTACGCTTTTTACCGCTTCTGGGTTAAGTGGCTTACCAAGCTAAAAAAAAAAAAAAATAGCATTGCTTACAGAGAAAGTGTTAACACTTACTTTCCCAAAAAGGACTTCAGCTATCCAAACAAGAGGGTTAAGAACCCCAAATCATTCCCTGGGGTCACTATGACATTAACCAGCTTCCCTCCCCATCATCAAACCCTTCACAGCTCATCACAAGACACCCACTGGCCTTTCTAATTGCAGACATTATCCAGGACCCCATCATCCTCTCCCAGTAATGTGACTGGTTTAGGCAGAGCATTGCCCCACAATGAATGGGCTGCATATCCTGCCTCACATCCCCCTTCATCTAAGATGCAAACTCTCCCCCCAGACTGCCATTAACTGGCCATTATGACCAAGGCAACACCTCCCCAGGGCTGTTAAAACTCCCCAAACAGGGATCTGACACTGCTCCTCACCCCCAACTCCCCCGAAAAATTCAAAAAATCCAAAGCTGTGAAGTAGCCTTCTCTATTACAGAAATCCTGCTTTTATCTGCTGAATTTGGTGCTAGGTGTTCTGCGTCAAGGACACATTTAATGAATAAACCCTTCTTGTAGCTAACATTCCCATTTAGGACAATGCCAGTCTCTTTCATAAAACGAACGATGCATACATCGATTTCACTGCGTCCCATCCACCCTGCACATAGGAGCTAAACCCAACTCATCAGATCTACTCTGATTTTATATATTTATTTTTATTTTCCATTTGTACTTTTTCGTTTGTTACCTCTATTTTCTGTACTTTTATTATTTGTCCTGTGAGCAGCATTTTCTGTTCTTTGTAATGCATTTGATAAATACCGCCATCTTGACCATCTACAACCATTTTTGTTCCTGATAGCGAGAACCTGGACTTCACTGATTTCATTTGAGTTCAACTCAACTCTAATCTTACTCAAAAGCAACTCTCATATTACTGCCCAATTTTTAGCATCACTGGGTTAAATAATCCCATTCCTATCAGACTAATCTCAGTGATAAGCAGGCCCGTACTGATTCCAGTGGGCCGAGGTTGATAGGGGAGATACTCTTATCTCCCCTGTTGGCCTATTCAGAGCTGGTACTATACAAACCAGCCTTGCTGTGAGCAATGACGGGCCAGTGGAGGGATCAAAGATCTCCCTCACCGGCCTGCTGGCAACTTACGGCTGCAGCCAGCAGCGGGGAAATCAAGGAGAACCGGGGGGCTCTAGCCAGCAGCTCCGCCAGGGTTCTTCCTCTTCTGACGTTGGAGAAGTACAGTAGTTACCATGGCAATGCATCAATCAGCAGCAGACCCTCCCTCCCAGACCCTCCCACCTCCTGGACAGCTCACTAAGAATGCAGCTTCACAATGGATGCTGTCCATGAGGTGGGAGGGTCTGGGAGGGAGGGTCTGCTGCTGATTGGCTGGAATGTGTCTGCTGACTGTGAGGTACAGGGTCAAAGTTTACTCAATGATGACGAATAGGGGGCGGACCGAACAGCGCATATGTTCGCCATCCGTGGAGAACCGTTCGGCGAACTGTTCGGGACATCACTACTTATCAATGATTCCCTGCGTTTTCTGGAACCAATGAACGAGAAACCATGCCCACAAAAAAAATGACACTTCCTCTTTAAAACTGGAACTGTCACTTCTCTGATATCTTTCGCTCCAAGAATGTTACTGGGTAAGGAGTACTGAGGCGGTGAATATAAACTCACTTACCAATGCACTACTTCTGTGTCTTGGCAAAAATATTTTCCCCGTGATACATTACATTATCATGAGAATTCAAAGTGGCTTCACAGTTAAGGCCAGAGTAGCTGAAGTGGCAGTATAACTGACTTAGATATTTCTCCAGTTCCACTATATTGGCCTTAAATTTTAAATTCACTTTAAATTCTCACTTTAGTAAATAGGCCTGTTTTTGTGATATGTGCGCTCAGACATCTGCATAGGAAATGCGTAATGAACACACAGCATCATGGGGGTTAAATTAATTAACAAAGTACCCACTGTTAGAACACCTTTCATCCGGAAAATAAAAATAACAATAATTAGAAAAAAGAATCAAAACCTATAGGTAACTTTTATTTATCTAATGCATGGTGCAAAAAGTCAGTTTGTGCGTAAACTTGTTAATAATGATATATAATAGATACAGGGATAGATGGAGATAGACACCTGTATATCTATTACAGTCTATATACATTCCATGGATGGACGGATGGATAAATAGATGGATGGATAAACAGTCTGTGTGTGTTCCATGGGATGGACGGACAGACAGACAGACAGACTGTGTGTGTTCCATGGGATGGACAGACAGACAGACTGTGTGTGTGTTCCATGGGATGGATAGACAGACAGACTGTGTGTGTTCCATGGGATGGATGGACAGACAGACAGACAGACAGTGTGTGTTCCATGGGATGGACAGACAGACAGACAGACAGTGTGTGTTCCATGGGATGGACAGGCAGACAGACAGACTGTGTGTGTTCCATGGGATGGATGGACAGACAGACAGACTGTGTGTGTTCCATGGGATGGACGGACGGACAGACAGACTGTGTGTGTTCCATGGGATGGATGGACAGACAGACAGACTGTGTGTGTTCCATGGGATGGATGGACAGATGGACAGACAGTGTGTGTTCCATGGGATGCACAGACAGACAGACAGACAGACTGTGTGTGTTCCATGGGATGGATGGACAGATGGACAGACAGTGTGTGTTCCATGGGATGCACAGACAGACAGACAGACAGACTGTGTGTGTTCCATGGGATGGATGGACAGACAGACAGACTGTGTGTGTTCCATGGGATGGACGGACAGACAGACAGACAGACAGACTGTGTGTGTTCCATGGGATGGATGGACAGACAGACAGACTGTGTGTGTTCCATGGGATGGGTGGACAGATGGACAGACAGTGTGTGTTCCATGGGATGCACAGACAGACAGACAGACAGACTGTGTGTGTTCCATGGGATGGATGGACAGATGGACAGACAGTGTGTGTTCCATGGGATGCACAGACAGACAGACAGACAGACTGTGTGTGTTCCATGGGATGGATGGACAGACAGACAGACAGAGTGTGTTCCATGGGATGGACAGACAGACAGACAGACAGTGTGTGTTCCATGTGATAGATAGATGGATAGACAGACATACATACTGTGTGTGTTCCATGGGATGGACAGATGGATAGACAGACAGACAGACAGACAGACTGTGTGTGTTCCATGGGATGGACGGACAGACAGACTGTGTGTGTTCCATGGGATGGACGGACAGACAGACAGACAGACAGACTGTGTGTGTTCCATGGGATGGATGGACAGACAGACAGACAGACTGTGTGTGTTCCATGGGATGGACAGACAGACAGACTGTGTGTGTTCCATGGGATGGACAGACAGACAGACAGACAGACAGACTGTGTTCCATGGGATGGACAGACAGACAGACAGACTGTGTTCCATGGGATGCACAGACAGACAGACAGACAGACAGACAGACAGTGTGTGTTCCATGGGATGCACAGACAGACAGACAGACAGACAGACAGTGTGTGTTCCATGGGATGCACAGACAGACAGACAGACAGACAGACTGTGTGTGTTCCATGGGATGGACAGACAGACAGACAGACAGACAGTGTGTGTGTTCCATTTCCCAGGGCCAGCTTCCAGCCCTTTGTAGGAGCTCTGCCTGGGGGCGGGGTCTACTGGCTCAGCCTGGGGGCGGGTTTAGAACGCGAGCCTGGGGCTGGTTTGTGACGTCACTCCCCGGGGCGGGGCCTGCCAGGCATGGTGGACAATAGCTGCCCCGGGAGCATGGGAGAGAATCGTGCGCGGCTCCTTTAAGAAAAGTCTCTGGGGAAGCAGATACCGGCGGCGAACCGAGCACCGGGGAGATCCACATCCTTAGAGGGGCCCCTGGGAGCCATTCATAGACTGTACCTGCTCTGCTGGGAGTCAGATCCATGGACACCATGCATAGACTGTACCTGCTCTGCTGGGAGTCAGATCCATGGACACCATGCATAGACTGTACCTGCTCTGCTGGGAGTCAGATCCTGCACCATGGACACCATGCATAGACTGTACCTGCTCTGCTGGGAGTCAGATCCATGGACACCATGCATAGACTGTACCTGCTCTGCTGGGAGTCAGATCCATGGACACCATGCATAGACTGTACCTGCTCTGCTGGGAGTCAGATCCTGCACCCTGGACACCATGCATAGACTGTACCTGCCCTGCTGGGAGTCAGATCCTGCACCCTGGACACCATGCATAGACTGTACCTGCTCTGCTGGGAGTCAGATCCTGCACCCTGGACACCATGCATAGACTGTACCTGCTCTGCTGGGAGTCAGATCCTGCACCCTGGACACCATGCATAGACTGTACCTGCTCTGCTGGGAGTCAGATCCTGCACCCTGGACACCATGCATAGACTGTACCTGCTCTGCTGGGAGTCAGACCCTGCATCCTGGACACCATGCATAGACTGTTCCTGCTTTGCTGGGAGTCAGATCCATGGACACCATGCATAGACTGTACCTGCTCTGCTGGGAGTCAGATCCTGCACCCTGGACACCATGCATAGACTGTACCTGCTCTGCTGGGAGTCAGATCCCTGGACACCATGCATAGACTGTACCTGCTCTGCTGGGAGTCAGATCCCTGGACACCATGCATAGACTGTACCTGCTCTGCTGGGAGTCAGATCCTGCACCATGGACACCATGCATAGACTGTACCTGCTCTGCTGGGAGTCAGATCCATGGACACCATGCATAGACTGTACCTGCTCTGCTGGGAGTCAGATCCTGCACCCTGGACACCATGCATAGACTGTACCTGCTCTGCTGGGAGTCAGATCCTGCACCCTGGACACCATGCATAGACTGTACCTGCTCTGCTGGGAGTCAGACCCTGCATCCTGGACACCATGCATAGACTGTACCTGCTCTGCTGGGAGTCAGATCCTGCATCCTGGACACCATGCATAGACTGTACCTGCTCTGCTGGGAGTCAGATCCTGCACCCTGGACACCATGCATAGACTGTACCTGCTCTGCTGGGAGTCAGATCCTGCACCCTGGACACCATGCATAGACTGTACCTGCTCTGCTGGGAGTCAGACCCTGCATCCTGGACACCATGCATAGACTGTACCTGCTCTGCTGGGAGTCAGATCCTGCATCCTGGACACCATGCATAGACTACCTGCTCTGCTGGGAGTCAGATCCTGCACCCTGGACACCATGCATAGACTGTACCTGCTCTGCTGGGAGTCAGATCCTGCACCTTGGACACCATGCATAGACTGTACCTGCTCTGCTGGAAGTCAGATCCATGGACATAATGCATAGACTGTACCTGCTCTGCTGGGAGTCAGATCCCTGGACACCATGCATTGACTGTACCTGCTCTGCTGGAAGTCAGATCCCTGGACACCATGCATAGACTGTACCTGCTCTGCTGGGAGTCAGTTCCATGGATACCAAGTATAGACTGTACCTGCTCTGCTGGGAGTCAGATCCATGGATACCAATTATAGACTGTACCTGCTCTGCTGGGAGTCAGATCCCTGCATCCTGGAGACCATTCATAGACTGTACCTGCTCTGCTGGGAGTCAGATCCCTGGACACCATGCATTGACTGTACCTGCTCTGCTGGGAGTCAGGATCCTGCACCATGGACACCATGTATGACTGTACCTGCTCTGCTGGGAGTCAGATCCATGGACACCATGCATAGACTGTACCTGCTCTGCTGGGAGTCAGTTCCATGGACACCATGCATAGACTGTACCTGCTCTGCTGGGAGTCAGATCCTGCACCCTGGACACCATGCATAGACTGTACCTGCTCTGCTGGGAGTCAGATCCCTGGACACCATGCATAGACTGTACCTGCTCTGCTGGGAGTCAGATCCCTGGACACCATGCATTGACTGTACCTGCTCTGCTGGGAGTCAGATCCCTGGACACCATGCATAGACTGTACCTGCTCTGCTGGGAGTCAGATCCATGGATACCAAGTATAAACTGTACCTGCTCTGCTGGGAGTCAGATCCATGGACACCATGCATCTGACTGTACCTGCTCTGCTGGGAGTCAGATCCCTGGAAACCATGCATAGACTGTACCTGCTCTGCTGGGAGTCAGATCCCTGGGCACCATGCATAGACTGTACCTGCTCTGCTGGGAGTCAGATCCTGCATCCTGGACACCATGCATAGACTACCTGCTCTGCTGGGAGTCAGATCCCTGGAAACCATGCATAGACTGTACCTGCTTTGCTGGGAGTCAGATCCCTGGGCACCATGCATAGACTGTACCTGCTCTGCTGGGAGTCAGATCCTGCATCCTGGACACCATGCATAGACTGTACCTGCTCTGCTGGGAGTCAGATCCCTGGGCACCATGCATAGACTGTACCTGCTCTGCTGGGAGTCAGATCCTGCATCCTGGACACCATGCATAGACTACCTGCTCTGCTGGGAGTCAGATCCCTGGAAACCATGCATAGACTGTACCTGCTCTGCTGGGAGTCAGATCCCTGGGCACCATGCATAGACTGTACCTGCTCTGCTGGGAGTCAGATCCTGCATCCTGGACACCATGCATAGACTACCTGCTCTGCTGGAAGTCAGATCCATGGACATAATGCATAGACTGTACCTGCTCTGCTGGGAGTCAGATCCCTGGACACCATGCATTGACTGTACCTGCTCTGCTGGAAGTCAGATCCCTGGACACCATGCATAGACTGTACCTGCTCTGCTGGGAGTCAGATCCATGGACACCATGCATAAACTGTACCTGCTCTGCTGGGAGTCAGTTCCATGGATACCAAGTATAGGCTGTACCTGCTCTGCTGGGAGTCAGATCCATGGATACCAATTATAGACGGTACCTGCTCTGCTGGGAGTCAGATCCCTGCATCCTGGAGACCATTCATAGACTGTACCTGCTCTGCTGGGAGTCAGATCCCTGGACACCATGCATTGACTGTACCTGCTCAGAGTCAGATCCATGGACACCATGCATAGACTATTCCTGCTATGATGAGGCGAGATCCCTGCACCCTGGACACCATGCATAGACTGTCCCGGCTCTGCTGGGAGTCAGATCCCTGCATCCTGGAGAACATTCATAGACTGCTCCTGCTCTGCTGGGAGTCAGATCCCTGCATCCTGGACAACATGCATGGGCTGCAAAAGAACATGGGGTGAGGGGCTGGACTCAGACTGCACATGAACATGGGGTGGGGAGGTCATTGTGAGGGGGAAGGGTGGGCTGCATGTTTTCCTCAATCACCTACCCATGGAGTGTCATTCTAACCCAGGTAAGTGCATCTGTGCAGAAATATCAATAAAAATCTGAACCCATCACACTATGTACACTGGTCTATTTCTCAGCCACTCGTCAGGCCTGGGAGGGGGAGGGGAGCTGTAAAAGCTATGGAGAAAACCCAATCGTTATCATAAATAATAATAATAATGGATATATTAACTATTTAACTGTGGGAGGGCCATATCCCTCTGCAGTGGAATCATCTAACCTGGTGGATCCTGAAGGGTTAAAGGAGACAGGGGGAAAAAAACAACAATATTTAAATGCCTAGATAGGGGGAAGAGATTAAATTTCGTTTCTCTCTCATCAATTTTCTGTTTAATGTCACTGGGACTCCGTTGTGGGAGAGGAGATACGTCACAGAGCCATAAATTTGTGATTATACAGCTACCAGCAGCCCCTGCTTTTAATTGAATGGATTTACTCCATACTGCAAGCAGGTATAGTGCAGCCACATCTCCCCAATACATTGTATCTTCATCAGCAAAACAGGATCTGTACAATGAGCAGCCACTCCAAATAGGAGCCAGGTAATGAAGGTATAACGTCTCCTTCCTCTCAACAACAATAAAAGCGACTGAGGGATCTGGCAGAATCAAGGAATCATTTCTCCACCCTATGCTCAGTGCTCAGGGTACATTGCCTGCCACACTCTGACATGCAGTACTTCGCCACGACCTAGGATTCGACATTCTCTAGGTAGGTGAATTGTCTGTGTCTCAGGCAACATTTTACTCAAAAGATTTTATTTTATTTTTCGTTTTAAAAAATAATTCAAACAAAAAATGTCAAACCACCCACTGGGAGAAAAAAAACAAACAACAAGGGAAGGCGTTTCCAGGCTGTGGTCCTGTTATTGTAACTTCTTTACATACATTTCTATTGAATAATAAAAAATAAACCAATATTTTAGCATCCTCTGATATTTGTAGAAGGAACCCTTGTTGGAACACAGACTGCTTTCTGTTTACAGAGAACACATTCTGCAACTCTGATGCTCTTAATATTCCTAAACACTGGTTTGTTTTTTTGTTTTGTTTTTTAACAACATTTTTGGGAGAATTGGGGGCTAGTAATTCGAATAATCAAATAATGCTAAATGATAGGAGAAACGCTTAAAGCAGGTCACATTTCAAGGGTATGTACATATGGCTAAAATTAGAAATCTATCAATCATGCCAAAATATAGTGCAGTCTGCAACTACATGAAAATTATTAGAGATTTGGTGCCATTTTAAATTCTCATCTATCTATATTTTATTTATTTTCTCAATATATATTTTTGCATTCTGTTAACACACCAAACCCGGAATAATAATAGATTTCGATCTGGTCGGTGCTAGGATTTGGGTTATAATGATTTAAGAAGAATCCACTGTGTTTAGATCACAGACGATTGAGAAATCTGCTATTTAGATGCAAATTATTTTTTTTAAATGTTTATATATCACACTATAGAGTTAATTTTATTTTTTTTATTTTTGTGACAGTGTTTCTGTCTTCCTGTTTCGAAATAGAGATTTTCTCTTGAATCCAATGACTGAGGACAAATGAACCTTAGTTGCATTGGTTATTTCTTTATTTGAACTTGCATTGATTCCCTGCATTTATATGCACGGCAGAAATTATATTGCTTTAGTAGAAAAAAAAAATAGATTTTTGTTTAACGATTTTTAATTAAACACATCGACTTTTCACTTAACAATAGAATGAAAAGACTTGAGGCCTGGGCAGACTCCTCTGTGGAAATTAGCAGCTAAAGTTTCTCAGATTTTTTTACTAATTCGTATAATTTCACTTCTATGTTTTTATATATTTATTCCAGAGATTTCTGTTCTTCACTGCTATTTCTTGAAAAGGTTTTTAAAAAAAAAAAAAAAAATACTTAGATGATTAGCAAAATAAAAATAAATAAATAAATAGATACTGTTTCTCTGACTACACAGATTTCAGAGTTTTGTGTGTAGTCCACCCACATAACTGGGTTAATGTGAAGATATATACTTTCGTTGAATAAATTCACACATCATTTTAATTATTTTTTTACAAAAAATATATCAAATTTTTATATATATTATATTATTCCTTATTCCAAAATACCCCAAAAAATTAATATTACTAAATTCATTTTTTTAATGCATTTGGTATTTTCTATTATAATTTTTCAAATGCTGTAAATGTCAGTATTTCAATTTAAATTGTAATTTGTTTTTATTTATTTTTTTTATATTTTGATGAGATTTTTCTCCCCCAAATTTCGATTACTTTGCAGATTTTCTTCCATAAATAAAATAGGTGACAAATGTCATTGTCCTTTTCGTGTGTTTTCATGTATTTTCCCCGTGTGACTATAACTAAACAACACGTGTAAATATTTAGACGTGGCTTGTAGGCACAGGGGGTTTAATTCTGAAATTACTCATTGAAGCGCCATATACAGCCTGGGATATTGGCAGTCTCGGTTCATAATGCAATAGCTTGGATTTTGGGACAATTTGCAGTTAAGAAATAAAATATATATATTTTATCTTTTTTTAAATAAATTCTTTATTTTTTTTAAATCCATATCTGGGCCTAAAATTGCAATATCCAGCCATAGGTTGCAGCCTTTTCTGTGGCTCTCAGTTACCCTGTATTGCACCTTCCGTGTGCTCAGCATATCAATTGCTAAAATATCAGAATTTTCTCAAATTTACATTTTTATATCTTTTTTTTATATATAAAATGTATTCCCACACATACAAATCAGAATTTATTTATTTTATAAAAATCCTCAAATCTTTTACACAACATCTAATATAGAACGAAATCTGCATTAAAAAAATATATTTTTTTGCTTCTGATTGATTTCCTAATTTTTTACATTATAAATTGCACGGTAGCGTTATAAACTGTCCTTAAATATTAAATTTATTTATAAATATATTTTACAAAAAAATACAATTTGTCGAAAACCCTCGTTTTGGGGTCTGCACACCCTCTAAACATATGTCAGTGTCTCTCATTTTAAATGCGATTTTTGCCACTGATTGTGTAGATCTGATCCAGCTGTGTTGGGGGAATTTATTCCATTTTCTAAGGGTTGGTTAACTCGCTGAGCTCCGGTTTACTCCATGTTCCCCTGTAGCCTGGTAGTGGGGCTACGTGTTCCCCTTACACCCTGGAAATAAAGGGAACGGCTATGCCCCCTCTCATCCCCGGACACAGAGTGCTGCCTTCCAGGGGCCACACAGACAAGACCGGGGAGAGAAGGGAAAATCAGGAATGTCCCATCTGGACAACTCATCCATCATGTGCTGTCCCTGATCCAAACCTCCAGCTCACTCAATAGCATTGATCGTCCCAAAGTCCGTGTTTGCATTGATAATTAATAACTAACAAGACTGCCCCCACCCCCACTGCTCTCAGCTCTTATCTGGGCCTGACTGGGGACAATGGGGGCCCTGTTCTGTAGACCCGCCAGGAAGGGGTTAATCAATGAATTGCTCAGCTTGTCCACGTGTGTATCTGCAGAGAATACAATCTAACTGTCTATATACTGGATACATTGTAACACCAAATAAAGATCAGAGTGAATTCTCCATTTAAAGTGTATTTTCTCTCTCTCTCTCTCTCTCTCTCTCTCGCTCTCTCTCTCTCATAAATAGACATTCAAGAACAACATGAAAACATTTTATCACTAATCAGCTCATCCACATATCTCTCTGTATATTATATTCCCCATTCCCTATGGGCAGTGTGTGTCTCAGGGCCCCTGCTCCAGGAGCCTGTGCTGATCTCTCTGTATATTATATTCCCCATTTCCTATGGGCAGTGTGTGTCTCAGGGCCCCTGCTCCAGGAGCCTGTGCTGATCTCTCCGTATATTATATTCCCCATTCCCTATGGGTAGTGTGTGTCTCAGGGCCCCTGCTCCAGGAGCCTGTTCTGATCTCTCTGTATATTATATTCCCCATTCCTTATGGGCAGTGTGTGGCAGGGTCCCTGCTCCAGGAGCCTGTGCTGATCTCTCTGTATATTATATTCCCCATTCCCTATGAGCAGTGTGTGTCTCAGGGCCCCTGCTCCATGAGCCTGTGCTGATCTCTCCGTATATTATATTCCCCATTCCCTATGGGTAGTGTGTGTCTCAGGGCCCCTGCTCCAGGAGCCTGTTCTGATCTCTCTGTATATTATATTCCCCATTCCTTATGGGCAGTGTGTGGCAGGGTCCCTGCTCCAGGAGCCTGTGCTGATCTCTCTGTATATTATATTCCCCATTCCCTATGAGCAGTGTGTGTCTCAGGGCCCCTGCTCCATGAGCCTGTGCTGATCTCTCCGTATATTATATTCCCCATTCCCTATGGGTAGTGTGTGTCTCAGGGCCCTTGCTCCAGGAGCCTGTTCTGATCTCTGTATATTATATTCCCCATTCCCTATGGGAAGTGTGTGTAGACTCAGGGCCCCTGTTCCATGAGCCTGTTCCGATCTCTCTGTATATTATATTCCCCATTCCCTATGGGCAGTGTGTCTCAGGGCCCCTGCTCCAGGAGCCTGTGCTGATCTCTGTATATTCCCCATTCCCTATGAGCAGTGTGTGTCTCAGGGCCTCTGCTCCATGAGCCTGTGCTGATCTCTCCGTATATTATATTCCCCATTCCCTATGAGCAGTGTGTGTCTCAGGGCCCCTGCTCCATGAGCCTGTGCTGATCTCTCCGTATATTATATTCCCCATTCCCTATGGGTAGTGTATGTCTCAGGGCCCCTGCTCCAGGAGCCTGTTCTGATCTCTGTATATTATATTCCCCATTCCCTATGGGCAGTGTGTGTCAGGGCCCCTGCTCTAGGAGCCTGTACTGATCTCTGTATATTATATTCCCCATTCCCTATGAGCAGTGTGTGTCTCAGGGCCCCTGCTCCAGGAGCCTGTGCTGATCTCTCTGTATATTATATTCCCCATTCCCTATGGGTAGTGTGTGTCTCAGGGCCCCTGCTCCAGGAGCCTGTGCTTATCTCTCTG